GAGAAGACTCCAAACCTCCCTCCACCCGCTCATTGTAGTGTTGATGCATGTGTGTTCTAAGGTGCATTTAAAACCCAGGAGGGCATGGAGATACCTGCCAGAGAGCAGCAGGTAAGCGCATAGTCCCTCCTGCTAGTTTGCGTGTTTCTTCTTAACTCACCTTTTTGTCCACTAACTATGTGTACACCATTCTGCATTTAACCACTCTGCATTTAATCTTTAGTTAGTATTAATCTCTTCTGATTGTAGAAGATGGCTTTTCCCTAGGGATTAATAAAATATTCTGATTCTGATTATTCTGATGGCTGCCCCTCTCTGAGTCTGGTTCTGCTGGAGTTTTCTTCTTGTTAAAAGTGAGTTTTTCCTTCCCACTGTCACCAAGTGCTTGCTCAAAGGGGGTCATATGATTTTTGGGGTTTTCTACAATAACACAGTTTTTAGTGTATTTTTGTAGAGTTACAGTGTACCTTACAGTGTAAAGCATCTTGAGGTGTCTTTTGTTATGATTTGGTGCTATATGAACTGAACCACTGAACTGAATTAAATTCAGCTGTGTCAGAAAACATCCTAAGGATGTACAGTTAAACCAGAATTCATAATGTTTCTTTAGTAAAGATCTGTATATACTGTGGAATGCTCCTTCCCCACAAAAAAAGCTGTTGAACAGTTTCACTGATATCACAGGGTAGAATACTTTGAATCGACAGCAAATGTTTCACTTTTTCTTATAACACTTTGAAGCCTTCTCTTCTGCATTCAGGATGTTTTTAATGTTATGTAGCATTTTCAGGCTTTGCTTGGTATCATAACATCCACAAAGTGTGACAAATAAATTTGAAAAAAGACACACCTATTAATTTAAAATAAATAATTTTATACAAACACTATCTGTGGAATTCTCAGCTCTAGTTTGAATAACGGCTGCTAATTTGACGATTTCAAATATGTACTTGTATATAGTACTTTCTTGCAGTACATCCCTACGAATGCAGCTCATGTAATGCAACAGTTCTACTTTACTCTAAATAACATTTATCTCTCAAAAGACAAGTTTTCTCTCAGGATTTGTCTCAGGAGATTCAGTAGAACACGATGTCTGCAAGAGACTTTCAGGGCTCTAAGAAACGATAGACTTTTCTGATTTGTCTGCTTGGTCAAACAATAAGAGCTGATCACCTGTAAAATTGCGCCTATTATTGTATCATATAGTTGATCAATTAGACAATTAATTCTATGTGTGAATGTATCTATGTATGGACTGAAACTTTAATTCTAATTTTTTTTAAATGTAGTTTTAATTATAAAGAATATATTAAAAACACAACCATATGTAGTCATTTTTTCATCAAAATAAATAGGGGTAAATAAATAGAAAAGAATAGAATAGAATAGAGTGCCTTTATTGCCACTTTACAGCTGTACAGTGAGATACAGAGCATCTCCAACTCAGTGAATAATAATATATTATATAATAATATAATATAATATTGATTATCATTATCTCCTCACATTCAGCACTGGGTGTATTGAATTTAACACATTTATAATTTTTTGATCTGAATTAAAATTGATTAATATAAATCCTGTTGAGCTTTTTGTGAATACTTCACTTAGAATCTTACACAATTTTTTGTATTTCCTTTTTTTAAGCTTTTCAGTGTTTTTTTTTTTTTAATTATTATTATCATCATTCAGAGGACAGACACTGCTTCACAATTTAATTTATTTTTTCAAACTTTTAGAAAGACGTGATCAGAAAATGAGACATGGAAAACACTTTCACCTTAAAGACTAAAAGTGTCAAACCTTGAGGACTAGCTTGTGTTGCTGCTTTTGGCTCAAACTGCTTTAAGCTTCTTTTTTCCCAGCTGTAAATAAAAGGAAAGAGTGAGCACAGCACACGTCAATGCCTGCAGCTGTTCATTATAGAGTAGTTGCACTGGCTTGCAGTAGCCTGTATTTGACAGGTGCTGGTGTTTTGTGTCCATCCAGTGTGACGTACAGCCGGATGTGCGGGTGTGGAGGATGTGCTAAGTCTGTGTTAAGGCCTGCATTTTCAGTGTGAGTGTATCGTGTGTTTGGTATGTGTGTGTGTGTACGTTTGTGCGTTCTTCGTTCTCATTGGCTGCTGAAACTTGTTGGAGCCTTTTCCCCTCAAATAAGAGAAAGCGCCAAGAACCTATTGGTTCTCGCGAAAAATCGTCCATTCTCCAGTCCGCCTGGTCCGGACCTCCGGGAGAAAATAAACTGATGTCAGACAGAACAACTGTATACTGCGAGCACATTAGCATTTTAAGGACTCCGCTCCACAGCAGTCCCGTGTGCCTGAATGCTGTGGGCTCACATTTTAACATCCAACCGCCGTTTTCGTTTGTTTGCTTGTTTGTTTGATTTTTACTCCACGCTGGATCTGACTGCCACTTTTTATCCCCAGAACGCGTGTGACCAACAAATCAACTCTTGAATCGCACATCTAACGTGTCCATCTTTTTTCTTTTATTTTCTTTTTTCTCTTGTCTTTTTTTCTTTTCTTTTCTGTTGTTTTTAATGCTACAATGTCGTCTTTGCCAGGAACGGTACCACGAATGATGCGCCCGGCTCCCGGACAGAACTATCCCCGCACTGGATTCCCTCTGGAAGGTAGGAGCTTGACAGTAGCCCTGAACAACCTCTCAGACTCCGGTAGATTTTTTGCGGAGGCTGAAAAAAATGCGAGCCTAATTTGAAGATTATTCAAACAAATATTCTGCATTAAACATTAAAGGCACGTGAGAAGACCTTCAGCGTGCTTAACAGTTAAGGCCTCAACTCCAGGGTAAACTTTGTGTGCAAGGACTGGCACTGAACACAATTGCATGAATAAAGGCAAGTGCCCCCCCCGCCCAGAAAAAGCCCCCAAAAAGCCCACGTTGCATTATTCTTATGCTAATACAATTTCCGTTGTATTATTCTTATGCTAAATATTAAAGGCCCCGGTCACAAGCACACTTAATCATCCAGTGACCACTTTGTCAGCGAATTGAAAACGACTAGAAATTCCAGAGAAAACAGAGACAGTCTCTACAGCACTTGGGTTGCTTCAAGTTCCGCGCGCCTGGAAATTGGCACCCACCGGCAGAAGCAGAGGATCAGTCCAATATTTGGACAGCGTGACGGCGAACAGTGAAGCGTGGCAGCAGGTGCTCTTCACCTCCTCTGCTTGGCATGTGGAACTGTGAAGTGTTAGCCCTTAATGGCGATCAAATGAGATTTGAAAACAATTGACACGTGGTACTGTCAGTGAATACTGGCAGGGAACAGCTGAAAGAACACCGGGCTCGCATTAGGTGTGATTGATAAGAAAAATAACCTGTCATCAAACTGGATTATTTAATAAAAGACAACAGTCTGCGCTTAAAGCCGCTCTGTACCGAATCTGGCCTTGTGTCATCCACAGTATCTACTCCTCTGGGCCAGGGACGGGTCAACCAGCTAGGGGGGGTCTTCATTAACGGCCGACCGTTGCCCAACCATATCCGACACAAGATAGTCGAGATGGCCCACCACGGGATCCGGCCCTGCGTCATTTCGCGCCAACTTCGTGTCTCCCACGGCTGCGTGTCCAAGATCCTCTGTCGCTACCAAGAGACCGGGTCCATCCGACCCGGCGCCATAGGTGGCAGCAAACCCCGGGTGAGAGAAACGATCTAAAGGACAACACGGATAATTGTCTGTCAATACCACTAGGCTAAATGATAAGTTAGTAATCTGTAGATTATCTGTAGGCTTCCACAGCCTTGTTATAGTTTATATTTCCACCTGCTTTCTAAAAAGTCACTCGAAAGATTTCGGGGCCTGTAGCCTGTGGCTCAGCTCACTCTCCTTGTTTCTGTGTGGCTCACGGCAACCTGCAGCAGGTAGCCACGCCGGATGTAGAGAGAAGGATTGAAGAGTACAAGCGGGACAACCCTGGCATGTTCAGCTGGGAGATCCGGGATAAGCTACTGAAGGACGGGGTGTGTGACAGAAGCACAGTCCCTTCAGGTGAGGCCTCCTCTGGTAAGCGGCGTTTAATTCACAGTTTTACTCTCTGAATTTTGCCCTCCGCGAAGAATACATAAAAACAGACTTTCAAATCAAGGAAGTTATCACGAAAAATATATTATTATTATTATTATTATTATTATTATTATTATTATTATTATTATTATTATTATTATTATTATTGTTGTTGTTGTTGTTGTTGTTGCTATCGTTGTAAATGGTAATATGGTAATAACAAAAATAATAACAGTACAATATAACAAAATAATAATGATATAATAATAGAATAACAGTGAATTTAATATAAAAACATTCTTCTTCTTCTTCTTCTTCTTCTTCTTCTTCTTCTTCTTATTATTATTATTATTATTATTATTATTAT